GCTTCTCTAACCACATGGTTACCTCTTCAATGGAGGTAAATGCGCTTCTCTAACCACAGTCCTCTACATGAAAATGGTTGGCCAGTTTGGGGAATCTTCTGCCAAGCCTAAATGCTTCATTCTGAGGGTGCATAAGGCAACTTTCCAGCCAGGGAAGCTTCCTCATTGCCAACATCGTTACTGCAGATGTGGGTACCTCTGAATATTATATAATACGTCAGTTTGATTTGGGAGGGGTAGGGGCCATCTTGGCTGTTTGCACATTACCTTTTAAATATTTTTGTTGTGTCTGAACAGAGCTCCTGCTAAACCACTAAGCCGCCCATCCCAGTGATTTACTGGACTGAGTTAAGAGAGATGCCCACTCAGTACTAAAAATCAGAGGTTGCCTTATTAAATTGAGTGGGTATCTCTATTCTGTCCCTAAAACAACTGCTCTCTCTCCTTAAGTGATCTCAGAGAATTGTGGTAATGGGTTAGGGTAATCCCATCCTGCGAATTCTTTGTGGTATGGTTTCCTACCTATTCTGTTGTTTTGCAGTCCAATATTTACGCTGTGGCTGAAACCCTAGCTCTTTCTTTCTCCCTTCAAATCTGTTATTGCACTGGGAATGATTAGTAATAAGGAATAGGTTACCAGCTTAGCTTGTAACTCATACTTTGGTTGTGTTTCCCAGCAAAACACAGCAGACCAAGTACCCCACAACAGAATTATTTTATTACTACAATCCACGAAAAAGCTGATTTTGATGGGATTATATGACACGCTGCTTCAGCTCTGAGTCCTGCAATGAGAAGAATTTTCACCCAGACTTCCAGAAGGAAAGAAAATATAAAAGTTGCTAGAGATCAGGCTGATGTATTTGGAAACTTCTGGAATCTTTGATGCTCAGGGCCAAGTCTCAGCTCAAATACAGCACTAAACAAATATAATATTGATTCAAATATGCTGTCTTAGAAATGCGCATTTACCTCCATTGAAGAAACAGTATTACAGTAATGTTTTCTTCTTTCAGAATACAGTCTGTTTCATGCCCTGGCAATATGTCTAATGGACTGAACCCCTCAGGAATTGGTGGCAAAAAGCAATTGCCATCAAAAAAAAAACCAGATTCAGCATCCCAGCCAGCCAGTGACAAGCCTTCCAGCTCGCTTCTCACCATTGAAAATGTGAAAAAACTTCAAGAGAAGAACACTGTTGCTAAATCGGATCTTGCCCATTGGTCAATAGAAACATACATTAAAGGGAGCAATCGCTTGCTGAATGCGAGCAGGACCAATACAGAGGGAAGCAGGGAGCAGACTGTGTCATATGAAGAAGAATCAGGAGTTCCTCATGAAGGTTGCTCAGAAAACAGTGATGAAACTTCAGGAAAAGGTAGCCGTAGCTTATTTTTTCAATATATCCTTGGAAGTACATTCCTTGTGTTTCTTCCATAAAATGGTCAATCTATGACAGAGATTACTAACTAAATATTCTTTTAAAGTTCAAAAGCATCTGGAGATGGATTGGTCTAGATCAGGGAAGTGATAATGGGATATAGTGTTTTCCTCAGTAGGGACTGAAATCCATCTTTCTCTCCCAAAAATTCTCTTACCAAGGGATGTTCTTGTTCCCTGCATTCAGCAAAACTGTTGGAACATGTGTGTCTGTACTGTAGGTATTTGGGCATTCCTAAAGAAACAAAATTGAAGAACGAAATAAATCTCAGTACTCAGTAAACTTTAAAACACTTTGGAAGGTATCAGTGGAAAAACTCAGAACTTAGTTCTGAGTTTGACAGTGACAATTCTTAGGGTGCTCAGGGGAGAGAAGGATAAAAATGGGTACTTGGGCTGTAATTTTTAAGCAAGTTGAATGTGGTTTGAGAGATATTTTTGGTTTGTCCCTTTAGTTATACAGATTTTGAGATTTTTGATAGATTACAAATACAACTCTGTCATTCCCCTCCTGATTTAACCCTTTTTCTTAAGCTCCCCCGCCCCAAATCTTATAACCTTTTCTCACAGGAGAATTGCTGTAACCCTTTGATCATTTTGAAGGCCCTTTCTGCAGTTCTTTTTCAGATTTTCCGTCTCTTCAGAATTGCAAGCAATATTCCTAGTGAGGACTCTATTTGTTTAAAGGCATTTGAATCTTAGTAGTTTTAGTTTCCATTCCTTTTTGATGTCCCCAACAATGTAATATGTTTTTCACAATGGTAGGTTAACGGTTCCCCACAGCCAGTATTCTGGCTGGGGAATTCTGGGAGTTGAAGTCCACTCATCTTAAAGTTGCTGAGGTTGACAAACATTGATCTAGGATGCAGAACCAAAAGCATTCCATTTTTAAAGAGCCTCGTTCTTGTGAATTCACATTCATCGTCGTAATCTCTGTTTATCACACGTATTAGTTTTACACCTGTGCAAAAGTCCCATTGCTTTCATCTGTACCTGAGTTTTTTTATTTTAACCCTTCACATGTTAAATTCAGTCTCAGGATGCAGCAGTTTGATATTAGCATGTTGATCCAAACAAATCTAAATCAAATCAAATTTTTATTATGGTTATATACCAACAGTAGGGGGTTGGCAACAGTCATTAAAAAGAAATATAAGGGACCTAAATATATATATCAAGAGTGAACATGAAAATCTAAAAAGAATGATAAAAAGCTTATATATATATATATTGATAATCTAAAGGAAGAGGTATAAGCATTAAATGGGTGTAGGGGAGCATAAAAAGTTAGTATGTGAAAGACTATATCTATTAAGTTACAAAACACCATAATATAGCAAACTAGGCGCACAGACTTGCAAGATTCTATTAATGTAACTTTACATTTAAGTAGAGCTAGTTCGTCTAGATGTGCTCCTTGTCTGGACTACCTCACGAGGCTGACATCAGTCTTGCAAGTCTGAAAGTGCATTTCTCCCCCGTCACCTTTACAGCCCAAGAAGCTAGGTAGAGTCCCTTCTGAGACATTTGCCACATCTGGCTCTTATCCGACCATTGCCCTGGCTGTGGCTCTTCCCCCTGTCTCCCAAGGTCATTCCCACATACCATTACAGTAGCACATGACATCATGTGTTCTTTTCCTCGAGAATTGTTTAGTGGCCCATACGCACACTAGGGTAAGCTGGTCATGCAGATCAGTCTGAAATGTCATGGCTGAATATCCAACAGTGTTTATTGAAGCACATGTAAGATATCATGGATGACGTTCTTCATTATCAGGCTTCCTGATATATGCTCGGCTGCTATAATGTTACATGCCTTCACTCACAGTTCTTTTCCTGTTATAGTATGTGTAAATTAGACCTTAACCTCTTCTCCATATACTATTACTGAATTTATCCTTCATGGGAGAGCTGCAGCTAATTTTCTGACAAACAGGCCTATATGATACAAGTGTTTAGTTCATGCTACCAGATCTAGGATGTGCACATTCAGACAGCTACTAAACACTAAAGTTAGAGGTTTCTGTATCATTTTGCTTCCATCCTCTGTCATCCAGGTTTTTTGCATCCCTAATTTACTGTACTTTATGTTGGAATGGGTTTTGGCCTGGATCCTGGACTTTGCCCCTTCCTGTTGGCTGCAGGACATCTTTAGGCTTGGGGCCAGAGCTCAGCATGGGAGCATACGATTGCAGGGTAGAACTGTTTTTCCTTGGAAGCTAAAACTTGAGGAGCCCACCCCCCCATGAAAAGTATGAGGCAGTGAAGCATTTAGCAAATTGCACTTGAAGGACGAGCTGGCTTTAAACCACTTGGCACCTGTTCTGAAGGAGAAAGGTAAGGGACAAAGAGAGCTATGCTTAGTGGCTCTTGCAAGTTTGGCCTGAAGGAAAAAAACATGGGGTAACAAAGCCCTTCTCTTCCCACCCAAACCTCTCCCCTCCACTCCTAGATCCCCAGCAGCAAGAAGACTTTGGCTTGCAGGTGATGTCACTCATTTTTTTGAAGGAAGAAGGCAAGGGACAGCCCAGGCCAGAGCTCCCATGGGAGTGCTCCTTCTGGAATATCTGCAAACACTTGGCCTCCCTAGCATTTCCCTTTGGGGAAAGATGTTGGACCACCCAGTCCTAATGCCATTGCATATATTCCAGCAGAAGCACCAGTCAGCCCAGCTCTCCTCTTCACTGATGGAGGAGATCTCTCACAGGTTGGATGAGTCACCTTGGGGGCTGGATTAGGCCTGCAGCTTGGAAGATTCCTATCCTTGTCCCCTTGATAAGGGGACATATAAAATATCTTGTAGGGACATGATAGAAGACATAATCCATGATGTGACATATTCTGGAATGCATTAAGTAAGTTGACATGAATCCTCATTTAAAAACCCTTTCAACCAATGGAATCAGAAAATCCAATGTGAGAACTTTAAGGCATTTGAGAATTTAGTTGCAAGTCAGAAATGGATAATCTTGTATCTAGTAAAAGCAACTTTCACACCTTTACTTTTATGATTTGAAAAGCAATCTCTTTTCTCCCTCCATTTAGATTTCCAGAGAAGACCTCTGTCGATTTCAATTCCTGAAGCTCAGCCATCAAAGTAAGGATAGTTTCTGCCTATTTCAGTCACATTCTTCCCAACACTGATCAATAGCAGGAATTGCACTATGCCTAAACAGTTCATTAAGTAGGGCAACCAAATCTGCAAAAATTCAGACACTGAGTAGATGGCAGCAAAGAAACATAGCAATATCTAATGTTTGGGGCCATGTAGTGGCTCCATTTCTATTTAGTCCAGATTTAGTTGCCCTAAATTAGACCTTCCAAAAGAGCCAATAATGGGGCCTGTTTCTAGTCGTCTATCACAAGATTCTGAAGACACAGAAACAGTGTTACCCCCTATTTTTAGGGATGTGTTAGATTCAGTGATAGGACTGAGTCCTAGTCCAGCTGCTCCTCTGGCATTTCTCCTCCCACAGTACCTCAACCTAATGGACGGCAACTCCCATGTTCAGTTATGTACTGTCTGAGTGCTCACATCATACTAAACCATGGCTGGTTTAACCATTGTTTATGGAATAATCCATAAGTGGCTGGGTCACACAACACATTAAGCCATAAATCATGGTTCATAAACGCAGTGGTTGGATTGACATAAGCTCTTAAACCCAAACCAAAAGTTACATTTAGCCCAAGGTATGAAGCCTGTCCTAGTGGTGTAGTGTGTTTCTTCTTCTGCACATCATACCTCAGTTGTTTCTAATAAAAGCAGCCTTGCTGATTATCATGGGACTCTTGTTTGTTTGTTTATGTAACAATTCTATCTGAAAAACATTAAAAGGAAAGCTATAATGAAACCCACCTCTTTTTACAGGGGAAAGAAGTTGAATAATCATAGAACAACAATAGAGAAAATTGATCCGGGTCCCCAGATATCAGAAAAGGCACTGATGGATATTTTAGCTCATAAGTAGGAAAACTTATGGGACAGTGGACATGTTTGGCATTCTGAGAACACATTTTAGGTGCCGCACAAAATGGCTGCTGGGAATGTTGCACCGAAAGACAACATCCCCATGTGTTGAGACTGCTGCCTGTCCTCTCCTTTAGCCCACCAAGATGCTCTATGTCATCCCAACTTTAGCCTCCTCTTTTTTTCTGGGCTCATGAGCATAGTGTTGAAGAAAACAGATGATCATTGTTTCAATAAAGTGTGTCTTCCTCCTCAGAGCTGCGCTCCATCTTTTGCACCCACAACAGTTTTAATTGATATGTCACTGAAGTAAAGCACTCAGAACATATGAAAGAGTCCTTTGCAGATACCTGTATTAAGTAAATGGTAATATATGTAAGAAGTAGGACTATTAGTGAGCAAACGAGCATACAGTAGTTCTTGTCATTAACAATGTTGCTCAGAAACAATGACATTGATTTAGCAGGAACTGGGTTCATTTAGTAGGAGTGTGAAGCTAAATGTCGCTTTCATAAATAAGCAGTTCTGATTTTCCCCATGCATAATGGCATTTCTTGCACCACTGTAGGAATTTGAGAGATAAAGGCAGGTGAGCAAGAATATTCATTTGATTTTTCCCCCCTTAAAGTCAAGAGAGAGGCAGAATTGAATTCAATGTTCTCTTTCCTAATTCTCTTTTTTTCTTTCAATGCTTGATATTTGGAAGATTTATATAAGGAATAATGAATAATAATAATAATAATAATAATAATAATAATAATAATAATATTGCAAAATGCAAAGACCTGCAAATAGAAATAGAACAACTGTGTCAAAAGAAAGCAAAGACAGAACCAATAGTTATAGGCACCTTGGGTGCAATCCCAAAACATCTGGAGCACCACTTGAAGACC